TTTCTCCATTTTTATCTCTGCAAAGAGTGCATATTAGAAGCTCCCAAGGTAGTACTAGAAAGAGGAAGACTTCTTCTTTATAATGAAATCAAAGGGAAGCAAATCTGTCAACATAGCGAAAAGTTACAAATTTTCAAAGGTGAAACGACATTACTTTCGGGACAACCTAATATCTCGAAATACGGTTGATTGAAGCACCGCCCGGTCGTTAGTTTTTTTGAACGGTTTTGTTAGGTACGCCAGATAATAGGTGTGTGCCAATATCGTAAAAACAGTTTAACTTTTTCTCTTTTTCCATAGATAGTGAGTTTGAACAAGCGAGCATGATTTGGTGACTTTGGAAATAAACGGGACAGTGTTGCACTTTCTGGAATGCTTTTCTCACCATTCGCTTGATGCAACGAGGAGGAGATGCTCTTCCATTTAAGATCTCATCTGTCGTCTTCCGAGTTAAGGCTTCTGTGATGAGATGATTACTAGATTTTTCTGAGAGTCCTAACTAATCCTTCTACGTTCAAAGAGGTGCATAGTACAGATCTGTTTCATATGTTCCAATCCTATTCACTGAAATGCTACTTCTTGCGAACTTTTTGAATCTATCGCATATACCCAGAATCTTTGCGTAGTCAGGTTGATGTCGTTTTTCTAGTACATGGTTTCCGTACTTCCTCTATCACTCAACAGCCATTCGAAATTTTCCTCTTTCCCTAAATATTATTCCTCCCGCTGCATGCTTTCCCTAATCAAAATTCTGCTGTGCTAGTTTGTGCATGTTCAGAGGATCCATATAGTACAAAAACGTTGCTAGTTCTAACCATCTCGAAGAGGATGTGCTTTTCAGTGTTACCGTCTTCTGAATCGGATTCTGATGATGATATTGTTGAAGAAGAAGCTTCGGTTGCGGTCGTTAAAGAGCCAAAAGTGGCATCTGTGCTGAACACTGTGGTCCCTCCCGCCATGGTACCAGTAGAAGACGTTAAGATGGAAATCACTCCGATAGCCGTGCCTACTGTTCTGAAAGAGTCAATACAAAAGGCATTTGCCGAGTCGATTTGGAAACCTGTCATTGACAAAGACGTAGCGGCCCCTAAAAGAAGTAGGTGGATTAAGGAATGGAGTTATATTGGAGAGTAAAAATTGAAAATTTCCAGAAATTTCCGTAGACAACGCTATGGAAAAGGAGCGATTTCTTTTGA